ACGTTGATAATGACTTTGAAACGACATCGGCGAATAATAATAATAATAATAATAATAATAATGAAACAATCACGAAATTCTCGAAAAACCGGAAATGAATTTAAAAAAAAAAAAAAAAAACTAATTACTAATTACCGCAAGTAATTTCAATTTATTGAATAATTAAATTTCGTTAAAAGTTAATTTTTTTTTTATTCATCATCGTCATCATCATTATTATCATTATTATTATTATTATTATCATCATCTTTCATACTCATCGATGATAATTATTTTTAATTTGAATTTTTTTTTTTACGTGTCACCAATTTTCTCGTGTATTCAAAAATTAAATCATTTAATTTTTTTTTTTTATTTGTTTTTTTTTTTTTTTTTTTTTTTTTCCATTCCGCTTTATTTAATTGTTTTTTTTTTTTTTTTTATGTTCTCGTGCGTGCGATCGTGCGTGCGTGTGCGTGCGTGTGGTGTGCGTGAGCGAGTTTGTTCGTTTGTGCGGTTTTTTTTTTTGTACCGGAAACTAAAAAAAAAAAAAGTTACAAATCGTTTCGTATTGCATAATAATTGCTTATTTACTTTTTTTTACGGCGCTATAATTTTATCAAAGGAAAAAAAAGTTTGTTTCCTTTTTTCCTTTTCCTTCCTTTTTTCCTTTTCCTTCCTTTTTTCCTTTTCCTTCCTTTTTTCCTTTTTTCAAAACGAAAACGACTGTTACGATCACGAAATCAAATATTGAAAGAAAGAAAGAAAAAAAGAAGAAAAAAAAGAATTTCATCAATAGATTTTTAATTACGACAAAAAAAAAAAAAAAAAAATGTGGCACAAGTCGACCACATGTCGTCTGATCGTGCATGACGACAACATGCCTTTTACTTTTTACGCGTGCGTGTGTGCGTGTGCGTGTGCGTGTGCGTATGCGTATCGAAAATCTGTAAAGTCGATAATTTTTAATATGGAAAAATAAAAATAAAAAATTGAGAAGAACAGATGCTATTCGATATCTCGCGATCAAAGTCACGTTTATCGTATACTTGTTCGATAATTAAAGAAGAGTAAAAGAGAACCCACATGGAAGTAAAGAAAAAAAAAACGATTGAAAAACACGAACGGCAGGCAGTTGTTGGTTTATTATTATTATTATTATCATTAAACATGAAAAGAAAATTGAAAAAGGTTTAAGGTTACGAAAATTGAAAGGAAGAAAAAGAAAAAGGAAAGGAAAATGTCGTCGTGTTCTTTATCATTTAGAGCGTATAACGGAGCGCGAAACGCTGCGTTGGGAAAGTTGGTGTCAACTCCGATGGGTAAAATGTGTATACGTACACACACACGGGTAGTACGAGTACTACATACGTAGCGGAGTAGTGATATGTGTCGGGACGGGTAGCGGAGACCACCATCGATTCCTGTACCTTCTTAGGTGGTCAAAAGACAAAAGCCGTTGACTCGGTAGATGATTACGTATCCAATGTTTGATTTCGTTACACGCTCGGACATTTTAAAATTATTCCCCGGACATGGAGGATCGCGGTTGACTTTCTGACTCTTTCCTAGGTTAATCTCGTTTCGGTTTTCTTCCTCTCTTTCTCTCTCTCTCTCTCTCTCTCTCTCTCTCTCTCTCACTCTCTCTCCTTCGGATTTTGAGTTTAAATCGGAGAGACTAGAAACTGTGAGAAAAAAAAAAAAAAAGACAGCGGCGAAAGGGAGTGACACGGAGTAGGGGATAAGGGATACGTGTATGTATACTACGAAGGGGTAGAGGGGAGACACACGTAAATACGTAGAAAGAGATGGATAATAATGGGGGGAAATGAGGAAGAGAGAGTAGAAGTGGGGGAGGTTTGGGGTAAAAGTAAAGAAACGGGAATGCATAAATAAATAAATAAATAAAGAAGAGAGAGGAGAAGTATTAAAAAAAGAAAGAGAAGAAAAAAAAAGTTATGGGGGCCAATTTCAATTGTTAACTGCGTAAATCGTCGTTCTCGGTTTTCTCTTTCTCTTTCTTTCTTCCTCTCTCTGCTTCTGCCTCCCCCCTCTCTCTCTCTCTTTTTTCTTCACGGACGAAAGTTATTATTATTATTTTTTTTTTTTTAAATATTTTTTTTTTGTCATCGCCATTTGAATTCGTTTCTTTCTTTCTCCCATTTTTTTTTCAATCAATTAATCGATTTTTTTTTTCGTATCGATTAATCGATTACGATATCTTTATTAATTTTTTTTTTTTGTTTCGAGATTGGTTATTTATCACCCGTTGTTATTTACTCTATGATTTTGAAAAAAAAAAAAAAACAAAAAAACAAAAAAGTTTTATTAATTTAATCTTTGGGTATATGAGTAAGAATAATAATGATGGTGATGATGATGATGATGATAATATTAATAGTAGTATTGTTATTAATAATAATAATGATAATAATAATAATAATAATTTTGGCATTGATCTTTATTTAACGTGAGTTTTTCTATTTTAATTTTTTTAAATTTTTTTTTCTTTTCTTTTCGCTTTCGAAGGACATGAGAAAATTTTAATTAATTAATTTTTATTTTATTTTTTATTTATGTAATATTATTATTATTATTATTATTATTATTATTAGTTATCAATCCAAGGTAGCGGGGACGTATAATAATTGTTAATAATAATAATAATAATAATAATAATCGACCATGTTGGAAAATATTTTAAAAAATTGGAAAAAAAAAATAATAATAATAGTTGTTGTTTGTATTTTAATGAATTTTTTTCTTTTTTTTCCGGAGGGTGGTGAGGGAAGGGGGAGGGGAGGGGATTTTCTTTTCTTAACAAGTTAAAACTTAAAAAGAAACCGAATCGTCGTGTGTCACAGTCGCTTTTTTTTTTTTTTTTTTTTTTTTTTTATTACCGTATTTTATTTCGTTGCTGTTTTTAATGATTGTCAAAATGGTTGTCTTTTTAAACAAACAGGGCTTTGAAAGCAGAAGAAAAAAAAAGATTCACCGAATTGTATAATCGAGAGATAATTGATTTTAATTTTATTTTTTAACGTTTTTTTTTTTTTTTTTTTACGTATGAAAAGAAAATAAAATTAAACGTGTATATAAAAGCAGACGACGGATAATGTTTTTTAATTAAGCATTAACGTAATTTTTTTTTTCGGTTTAAGTAAAATAAGAGAGCGTTTTAATTAAAGCAACGCCACAACAACAACAACAACAACAACAACGGATTCTCATTATTATTATTATTATTATTATTATTATTACTATTTTTCGTAACTGTTAATCTTGTTCTCTCTCTCTCTCTCTCTCTCTCTCTCTCTCTCTCTCTCTTCGGTTTTAATTATTTTATTTTATTTTTTTCGGTTAATTATTTGCATAAAAAAAAAAATTAAAAAATTAAATTGAGTTTGGATGTTACATCTTTGGAAAAAGCCTCTCTCTCTCTCTTTCTCTCTCTCTCTTTCTCTCTCTCTCTCTCTTTCTCTCTCTCTCTCTCTTTCTCTCTCTCTCTTTCTCTCCCCGAGTTTTTTTTTTTTTTTTTTTTTTTAATGAAAGAATTTAAATTAACGAACGATTTATATATTTCGAATGGGTGCGAGCGTGTTTTATTTTTAAAATTTGTTTTTTTACTCTATGAAATTTCAAACGAACAAACAAACCATTGATTGCCGTTACATTCGCGAACGTTGTAAGAAAGAGAAGAAAAAAAACCTTCGAAAAATTTTTTTATTTTTTTATTTTTTATTTTTTATTCACAGATATTAATTTAATCGTATTCGGGTAGGGGGGAAAAAAAAAAAAAATTCCGTTAGAACGTTTATTTTCCCACCGTTCCCCTCCCCCTTGCCACCTTGCCGCCTTCCCCCCCCCAGCCCCCCATCATTCTCTTTATTTATTTTTATTTACCCACCGCCTTGTATTGTGCGACGCTCGTTGTTGTTGACCATGTTGGCATCACCGTAGTTGAAAAAAAAAATTTTTTTTTTTTTTGTTTGTTTTTGTTTTTAATAAATAAAATAAAATTTTGTTTAATAATAATAATAATAAAAATAATAATAATAATAATAATAATAATAATAATAATAATATTTTTTTTTAGAAAACGCGAAATAATTAATGCATATATAGTGACCGTGTTTCGTTATCACTATTATTAATAATAATAGTTTGAATTATATTTGCCGACGTGAAGATATTTGTCTGTTTGTTTTCTTCCTATCTTCGGAACAAATAAAAATGCTCAAAACAACAGATTTTAATATTTTACAAGAGAAAAAAAGCGAAAACAATCGTTGCGGTAATTAGTTCAGACATTTTTTTATTTTATGAGGAAATAAATTTAAAAGGAAGGAAAGAAAAAAAAAAACACGTTTGATTATATATATATATATATATATATATATATATATATATATATTTATTGTATATACTTTGTAATGATATTATTATTATTATTATTATTATTAATAATAGGAAACTCGACGAAGCAAATTTTTTTTTTTTTTTTTCCATAGTAATTTGTAGTGTGTATAGCGTAAAAGGTAGCCACTGACGATCATAGTAATCGGTGCGTGTTGGTGGAACTCGTGAAGGCACAATTTTAATGATTTCTAATTAGAAACCTTACCTAGAAATTTTTCTTCTTCTTCTTCTTCTTCTTCAAATTTCATTTCCTCAGCCTTATTAGATTCGCTCTCTGGTTTTTTGTTTTAAAAAATTAGTCAATATTAAATAAATTTTTAGTTGTACGCACGCGCGCGCGCGAACGAAATTATTATTATTATTATTATTATGTTTTGATTAAATGTAGAAAATGGAAAGGAAAGGAAGGGAAAGAAAAGGGAAAATTATTAAAAAGGTGGAAGTGTGGAAAACAAGGAGAATAAAAAAAAGGCTTCGTCACTTCGTAATTTAACTGTGGTTTGAGTGAGGTGGGGTCAGGTTGTAAGCCAAGGAAAGTAGTGTATCACCTGTTCGTGGCCTGCACTTTGGGGATGCAATATGACGCCTCGGACACCTGCACAATGAGTAGACCACCACTACCACCCTTCTATCGATCCCTGACCTTCTCTCTCTCCTTAGCGTGTGCTAGCTGTGCCTTACCTTTTTCCTTATCTTTTCATTCACCGATTTTGTTATCACGGCCCCCGAGGCGTTTACGTTGTTTGGGAGAACACGAAGAGGGCCCGTCTCCCGTGTTTGTCTCCTTTCCGGGGGGGTGGGGAATTTCTAACAAAACTCCCCAAAATTTTTGTTTCGCTTGACACATTTTCCATCCCCAGCTAATGTTTGCTTTTATTTTTTTTTACCCTCGGCTCTGTCTTTCTCTACTTTTCCCCCTCCCCGCCCCCTTTAACATCCCCTGACACTTTTTAGTTAGATTTTGTATTGCAACTTTTATTATTATTATTATTATTATTATTATTTACGAATATTAAATGTATTTGTTTAAAAAAAAAAATTTTTTTTTGTATGTTTCTCTTTCTCTCTCTTTACAGAGGCGTGTTCGAGTAGAAACACACCAAAGCCGAGGCCTCCGCCTCCGTCTGCGAGGCCTAACATCACTTTCCCCACGTACACATGTCCGCCCACGTATGCTGCGTGGTACTGTCTCAACGGGGCGACTTGTTTCACTATCAAAATAGAAGAAAGTCTTCTGTACAATTGCGAGTAAGTATATTTTTCTTTTTTTTTTTTTTTTTTTTTTTTTTTGCTTGTTTTAATGCGTTAGCGTTCCAGTCTGATTATTATTATTATTTTCTTCTGCTTCTTTTACGTCGTCGTCGTCGTCGTCGGTAAAACCAGGAGGGTGTTAAGGCGTGTGTTTCTTCCTCATTTAAAATTTTTCACGTTTTTCTTTTTTGTACGGTGGTTATCTCACGTTTAAAAAAAAAAAAAAATTAATTAAAAATGGTTTGTGATTATTGTGTCGTGTCCTTTTGGAAGGTCAAAAATTTTTTTTTTTTTTTTTTTGCATGAAGTCACGCCAGGAATTTTAAGCTTTTCTCAATGGAGAAATAATTTTTTTAAAAAAATACATTGTCGATGTAAAAAAAATACAATAATAATAATAATAAGTAAAGGTATGTGAAAAAAAAAAAAGAGAAAGAAAAAAGGGGGCGAAAAAAAAAAAAAAAAGAAAACGGAACCTGATCGGGCAACCTGTTCTCGGATTAGTCTAATTCTTTACACACGTAGCACACACACACACAGCACTTCATTATTGCCACAACGCAGAGTCGTGTCACAAGACAAAAACGAACGAAATAATAAAGAAACTCGCAAACTGTCACCTTATTCTTTAATGAACTTCTTTTTTTTTTGTAAAGTTTTCAGCTTTGGTTGTTGATAAAGTAAAACTTTCCCAAGTTTATGTTTACCTGAAGTTCTCATGGCGGTTTTTTAAAAAATTAACTGACCACACACACAAAAAATTTAAATTTTTAAGCGCATACTTTATGAAAAATATGTCGCATTCCTCTCTCTCTCTCTCTCTCTCTCTCTATACCTATAATTTATTTCTCCACGTTCAGGTACGTTTGAGAACAACAACAACAAAATTGCAATGATATTTAAAAGGACGAACGAACCTTATTATCACCTTTAACTTCATCATTACTGACTCATTCGTAATCTTTCGACGATGGGAAAAATCACGTTCGAATTTCCCCCCTCCCCCTCCCCCACGTTCGTTGACAGTTTTCACTACGACAACAACAATTATTATTATTATGCCGTTTTTTTTTTTTTTTTTTTTTTTTTTTTAAAAATTCCATCGACCATTCATTATTGTACCTGAATGAAATAATGAAAAAAAGATTTTTCGTACTTACAAAAGAAAAAACTTATTATTATTATTATTATTGGAATGTTTGATGTATTTTAAAAGAAAAAGAATGACGACGTCATTTTTAGTTCGGAAAAATTCCGCACGAGTTAAATTTCGCGACGATCGTTTGAAAATTGTCCGTTAAAATTTAAAATTTTGTTTTTGTTTGTCTTCAGGTGTGCGGAAGGTTTTATGGGCCAAAGATGCGAGTTCAAAGATTTGGACGGTTCTTATTTACGTGAGTAAAATATGGATTTGATTTTTAAAAAAAGAAAATTTAACGGACGGCATTTTTACTCTTTACATTTTTTTTTTCTTTGCAGCTTCAAGACAAAGAGTTTTATTGGAGACGGCGTCGATAGCCGGCGGTGCAACCATAGCAGTGTTCCTAGTGGTAATAGCTTGCGTGACTCTATACCTTCACTACCAGAGGAAATCGAAAGAGAAAAGGATAGCGAGTTCGGATAGGAAAGACGGAGGAGCCGAAAGAGGTTTGGAAAGGCGAGCGTTCAATCGATGTTTATCGATATCCATGGAACGATTACCGGAGGTACGTACGAATATAACAAAAAACAAAAAAGAAAAAAAAAACACACAAAAAAAAAAAAAAAGCAAACAACCAGAGGTCTACTCTGTTTCCGGTATATTAGTTTCCATATAGGACCGACCTCATGAAATTGATGGTGTTGTTTATTTTTAAAAGTGCCGGAAGAATGTTAGCAAATAATGATTGTTTGTCCCAGGAGGACGAGAAGAAAACAGTGACACGTAGTATCGATCTGGGACATAATAATCCTTTCGGAGATTTTTCAATAACCGTCGCCGGTCAAGTTTGACAACCTGAAAAGATTCTCCTCCGTTAAAAAACAAAACCTTAAAAAAAAAAAAAAAAAAAACGAGGCCCTCCTCCTTCTTATCCTACTTCTTCTTCTTCTTCTTCTTCTCATAAACCTTTTTTTTTACCTTACTCCCTTCCCCTCACCCCCCCCCCCGATCACATGCAAAAAAAAAACCTAAAGGGAGAGATAGATAGAAAAAGAAATAAAGAAATCGCATCTCGATCGAGATATCGATCGATAACTGATATAAATATGTGTAGTTGTTATTTATTTATTAATTGATGAAAAATAAAATAAAATCACTTATTAACGATTATAAATAATTTTTTTTTTTTTTAATTTTAATTTTAATTATAAACAATTAATTAAAATGTCCACCGTATATTGTTTATAGAATTCGACGAATTTGTTTTTGGCGCAGTGACTTAATATCATTCACATCGAAAAGAAGAAAAGGAAAGACTAAATAATATTAACATTAAAAAAAAAAAAAAATGGCTACGTGTTAATTAAATTATTAACTTTTGTTGTTGTTGTTGTTGTTGTTGTCGTAATACAATTGCACACATTGAAAAAAAAAAAAAAAAAAAAACGAATATAATCGTTCAGGAAAGCACAAACCGGTAAAAGTCGTTGGTATTATTCAAGTTCGTCGGTTATTTTTTTATTCTATGACAACGCGGAGAGGTGAATTGCAACGTGTCGACGCGTCGCAACAACAACAGGAATGTCGCAATAATAAATAAGTAAACAAATAAACAAACTCGAATAGAATACGAATTATATATATATATTTTTTTTTTGTTTTTTTTTTTTTATTTTCGGTTAAATGTGGCATGTGTGTCGACATTTAACGCCATTAATTAAATCACAAGAGAAAAAGAACAGAGTTTAATGAAAGATTACCGGGAAAAAAATTAATTAAATTAGTAAATAATCGTCGTCGAACGAATTGTAAATTCAAATTTAAATCAAAAAAAAAAAAAAAAAGAAAAAAAAATCTTCTGCTAGTCAAAAGGTTTTTTTTTTTTTTTTTTCTTCTAAATTTTTTTTTAAACTTTCTTATTTATCTTTTGTTTAATTTTTTTTTTTTTTTTTTTAATAATAATAATAATTATTATTATTATTATCACGACGATTTTTTTTTTGTACAGAACTTTGTCGTTTTATATATATATATATATATAAATTTGTATAATTTGTAAATTTGATATAAAAATAATTATAAATAATAAATAAATAAAAATTGTAAGCAATAAGTAAATAAATAAATAATTAAATAAAGGGATGAAACGAAAAAAAAATAAAAATAATAATAATGATGATAAATTTTTTTACTAAATATAAATAAAAAATGTTTTGTATTATATTTATTAAAAATTAATAAAATAAATAAAAAAATTTACGTGGGTAAGTTTGAGTCGAAAACGAATTTAAGCTCAAAACTAATCAATTATTATTATTATTATTATTATTATTATTATTAATAATAAATGTTTGCATAAAGTAGTAGATTTTTTATAAACTTACGGTCATAATAAAATCACACGTATTAAATTTTATTTTTAATAATAAAATAAAATAAAGATTTGGCGCCATATTTGAAATCGCGTAACGTGCATCATAGCTTAATAATTGAATTCGTGCATTCGAAACGTCGCGAAAAGGTAAATGCAAGGGTTGGTATTGGTAAATGTATAAAATGAATAACACTTTACGTATGATCACAACGCGCGTCACGGATCTTTTTATAATTATGATTAATGTCAAACGTTAAAACAAAAATTTTTGACACGACTATGACGCGACTATTGACACGGCGTTTTTTTTTGTTTTATTTCAAAGAAAATTTTCAACGAGTGAAACAGTAATGTGCGTTTGTTAGTTTTTTTTGTTTTGTTAATGGCGGATTAAAAAGAAGATTTAACGTATGGAATTATGAGGTGGGTGATATAATTTATCATATTATTTATAGTTTATAAGTGTTTAATATCAATGAATGGTTTTAAAAGAGAAAAATAACGAAAACAAACGAAATTTTTTTGTATGATGAAATCATTACAATTAATTAACATATTAAAAATGGCATAAAAATTATAACCGTTGGGAATATTAATTATTATATTTATGTAACTTATGTAATCGAATTAGGATAACCAAACATTGCATTTTTTTTTTTTTTTTTTGTATTGGAAATAATATTTTTTTAAGGATGAACAAGTAATTAAAAGACTGATTAAGTTGGGTTGTTATTATTATTATTATTTATTTTGTATGTTAATTATTTCTTGTTGAAAGTGACAAACAAACAAATTTAATTTTTTAAATATTAATCATTATTATTATTATTATTAATATATTTTTTCGTTAATTAAAACATTTTTCGACTCAAACTTTTTTAAACAAAATTTTTTTACTTATTGCAAACATAAAAAGAAAACTTTTGTATTAAAAAAAACTTTTTTTTTTTTTTTTTTTTTCCTTTTCATAAAAATATATAATAAAATATTTTTTAATAATTTTAACAAATCTAATCATAAAAAATTATATTGAAATAATAATAATAATAGTTATGTTTTATGATAGAAAAACAAGACAAATTTACCCCCCCCCCCCCGCCACATTTGTTTTATTAAATGTAACCAAAAAGGAAAAAAGGAAAAAAATTGAAAAAATAATAAGAACAATTAAAAAAAATTATGTAAAATAATAAATAAATAAATATGGCATAAAAATAAACGAAAAATTTAATTTATTATTATTATTATTATTATTATTATCATTTATTCAATTCATTATAACGAGTCGTCATTTAATAATAATAACAATCATCATCGTCAAAATCACGTTTTTTTTTTTTTTATTACACTTTTTACGTCGTATAAACAAACTCGAATCGTATTATTATCATTATTATTATTATTATTATTATTATTATTATTATTATTATTATTATTATTATTAATTTTTTAATGTCGTCATTACGACCTACTAATAATCGATATCCGGATACAAAACGTTTGAATGAAAACAAAAGTGACCTTTTTTCTCTTTTTATTTTATTTCATTTCATTTCATTATTAACGTTATCACGTGACCTAGGGATTATGTATAAATTATGTTTTAACAAAAAAAAAAAAAATAATAATAATAATAATAATAAACGGAGTCTTCCCCCCCCCTTTCCCTTCAATATGTAAAACAATTTATCGTTACAATCGCCATTTTGTGGTTATTATTCGAAAACAATTTAAATTTTTTTTTATTTTTTGCCCACAAATCTTGATAATAATAATAATAATAATAATAATAACGGTATTCGTTATTCCTCCACCCCACCCACCCCCCTACCCTCCCATTTCCTCGTATTTTAAATAATAATAATAATAATAATAATAAATCTTGGATTCCGTTTTTTCCGTTTACGTGTGGCAAACCCTCACCCAAACGTTTTCCTTTTTTTTTTCTTTCTTTCTCCCTTTTTTTCCTGGATTTTTTTTCTTTTTTTTTCTTCCAGACAAAACGCTACAATAAAAAAAAAAAAATTTCGTGAAATAATTTAATAATAATAATGATAATGATAATAATAATAAAATAAAATATTCAAGGACGCTAACTCGATTACATATTCATAAATTAAATAATTTCGAAAACGTTTAACTTCGGTTGTTTGTTGTTTGTTGGTTTGTTGTTGTTGTCGTGGTTGTTTCCACGTCCATTTCGTTTGTTTCGTTATTTTCATTTTTATTAAATTTTTTTTTCTTTTTTTTATCGAGTGATGTCGTTGACGAGGACGACAATCGATTTTGAAATGCTTCTACAACTGGAAAAAAAAATTATTATTATTATTAATAGGAATGAATGTTCCCGTGGGATTGAATATATAAAGAGAGAGAGAAAGAGAGAGAATTTTAAAAACTGAAAAAATTTATTTACCTTCGGTTTTTTTCAAAGCATTAAAAACGATTAAATTATTACTCCTGTTATCGCCACCGGAAGCCATTATGAAGGGTAAATCCGGTGCGGAATCCAAACAGTGGATTTTACCAATTTTTAATTTTTTTTCCTCTATCAATTTGGGATTTTTACCGATAACGTCCCATATTTTAAGAGATTCATCACCGGAAACGGTACAAAAAAATCCAGGGCAACTCGAACTCAAAGCCAAACCTTTTCAAAGAGAAATTTTTTTATTTTTATTTTATTGAACAAATCCTTTTTTAATGTATCGATTTTATGTATACTTGTCACTTCCTGTGTATGAGCTTGAATTTCCCATAATTTTTTATTTTTTCTAAAATCGAATGCGTAAACGTATCCCTTGTCGTCGGATGCGAAAAATTGCGAGTCGTTATACGTGTTCCATAAAACTTTTTCTACTTCCCCCTGAACGTTCCATGTTTGACCAAGTTCAGAAGTTCTGCAGTCAAATATTTTGCACGTTCTGAAAAAAAAACGGTTAAAATTTTTATTAAATGGATGATTTTAAAAAGACATAAAACACGCGTGAAAACGAAATGAATATTACTATCTTCTTACTTGTCTCCAGAACCAGCCAGAAGAGTGTGACCTTCTTTCGGATGCCATTGTAAACTCTGAACTGAACCTTCAAAATCTGTGAAAGTTGTATTCGGTTCAGATTTGTCCAAATCCCATAAAATAACAGATTTGTCTATGCTTCCACTTGCTAATATGTGACTGAAGGAAAAGAAAAAGAAAACAAATTTAAGGTTATGTTAAAATACACCACATGACTGTGTGAAATGTTTACAATTTAATAGATACCTAAAATTAACATTCCACGATAAATCTAAAACTGCTTTTTTGTGACCGATTCTTGGAGCTCCTGTTCTTATGTTACCCTTTTTTCCTAACCTGATAGCAGGTTTAACACAGTTAACAATATCTAAATCCCAAACTTCAATTATGGGAGTTACATAACCGACTGCACACAAATTTCCTAATGGAAAAATATGAAAATTATTTGATTGATTTCCAAAAGTTCATTTATTGTTTCATTTGTTTAAAAAAATATATACCTGGTTCATTTGTGTTGAGTGGATCATGATTTAACCATTCAAGTGCCAAAGGAACTCTAGGAAGCAAATAATCATGATGAACGTAAAATGAATCTTCCTTATCGTTATAAACTAAAATAATATTATTTAATGTCATGTAATTATTATTTAATAAGGTTAAATTTATCAAACTTTGAGTATATTTTTTTTAATTATTCACCATAAACTTCAAGTATGGGAGAATTTCCTTCTACATGGCCCACTAATATTAAATTATCAGTCGGCTGAATGATATCATCCTCTTCCTCCGAGTCTGGTAAATCAATGGCTGCCGATTTGTATGGATCATCTTCATCAATAACAGCTATATCATTAATTTTCATTGAAACTTCATCTGCAAATATTATTATTAATGTCAATGGAAAATTAAAAAATTATCATTAAATATAATAATAATTTTGGTGATTTTAAAAATATTAACCTTCATCGTTATAATGTTCCATATCAAATTCATCATCTTTGTTAACTGGATTACTATTCTGATTCTCTTCATCATCATCATCATCATCATCGGAATTATTATCTTGTTCTTTTTTAATAAATTCTCCTAATTCAGCTCTACTCAATTGAATCTTTAAAAAAAAAAAAAGGAAGGACACATATGAACATTTCTAACCATTTTTGAGTACCAATTTCCAATTAATCGGTCTGTAATTACCTGTATAGGATTTGATTTCGATACGCCTTGCTTAACGATTTTAAGACAAGGAACAAAATTTACTTTGGGAGTTTCAAATTCTTCCTCCATTTTACTTTAACCGAAAACTAAATTATATTTTTAAATACAATAAACATATTTCGGTTTGAAATAACCTAATCACGTTAAACAATACACGTGAAATTGCATTCGATAGTATCGATATATCGAAAATTTAAAAAATGTAAATAGAACGTATTGCAAACTTTGAAAAACTAAAAAAAAAAAAAAAACAGTTAAAAATTTTTCTGCGTCGGTAAAAAAAAAAGGATAAATTATATAAATGATCTTTAAAGACGTTAAAAGAAAAAATTTTTTTTTTTCCCGTAGGTGAATAATTGATAATTTAATTAATTAATTTTTTTGCGTCTTTAAAATAAAAATAAAGGTTGGATGCCCTGCTATGAATGACTAATATTAAAGTCATATGCTTATGAATTATTTGTTCAATCATTGTCATTCAACGTGATAAATACATCAATTGAACTTTAAACCAATTCGAGTACGTTTAATAAGGGCGTTAGCAGAAAAAAATTTTTATAGTGTTTTATAATCATTCCGTAGAGTTTGTTTCATTTTATTATTTTTTTATTTTTTTATTTAAAAAAAAAAAAAATCAACAATCTTCTTCATCAAGATGAAACTTTTGTTGATTTTTGTTGTTGCCATTTTTGGAATCGTTTTTGCCGAAGATGAATTTTGTTACAACGACGTAGTTGCTGCTTGTAAACCTGCTGGAACAGAAGAATTAGTTAATTGTAACGCAAGATACGGTGGCATCAATTCGGTAGAATACGATTTACAAAGTTTTGCTAACAAGCATTTGACCCACAGCTTTCAATATTTATTACTTTCATCTCATTTTGGTAATTATGAAAAAAATAGAATGGGATTTTCGAAATTGTTTAGAAAACTCTCGGATTCAACTTGGAGCGAAGGCATTGAACTTATTAAATACCTAACTAAAAGAGGTGGTTCAATGGATTTCAAGAGCAAACGCCAAGAAGATACCTTAACCGAAACTCAAAATGATACCTATGAACTCTACGAATTGGAAAGCTTGGCAAAAGCACTCGATATTCAGGTAAATAAATTTTTCAATTTGATTTTTTTTACAGGTATGCATGATGTCAAACTTACAGTTTTTAAAAAAAATTATAATTTGATTGCTACATAAAATGTCCGAAAAATCAAATATCAATTTTTTTTCTTGTACCGATTAAATATATCACACATAATTATTTACTCATAACTCAATTATCAAGTGATGAAGAATTCTTGGAAAATTTTAAAATTTGAAAACGATGAAGAAATCGTCTGAAATAATTATTTGAAAAGTTTTATATGTGTTATTAATAATGATGGCTCTTTGTATAAAAAAAAAAATAGCAAGGACAAAAAGGGGTATGTTAATTTTACATTAGTCAGACTAAATATTACAAAAAAAGTTTATCTTTTCAAGAATTGTAATGTAATATTAATAATAATTATAATATGATGATTTTAAATTCTTTATCGTTAATCATTATCTCGAGAGTGCAGTGTGTGATTTCTGTTAATTTGTCAACAAACCTACTAACTATTACATAAAAAGTCAATAAAATTATTTATTAATTGTCATTGTATAAAAAATTTGATAAAATTTATTTTTAACAGATTATCAATAATGCATAGGACTAGACAAGTTTGTGACAAGAGAGATAGAGATAGAGATAG